AAAATAAAATAAAATAAAATAAAATAAAATAAATCTTACTGACCCCTAAATTAGAGATATGAGCTCTTGGTCTTTAGATAACTTTTTATGCTGCTCTTTTTACCCCACATTAAAAGTAAGCAAGCCAACATTGTTTTGCCCAAAAGTTAAGGGTAGTGTGACCTTAGGTTATGTAACTGGAATAAATAGTGTTTATCACAGATTTTGTCACAGTGAATGTCTCCCTCCGGGCTAGCTGAGTCCACTGTACCTCTCGCTGTCTCGCTCAGACAGCAAACTGCATGCTCCGCTCCATCCCCCAGCCTTCATTTGTTGACTGGCCACATTAAACATTTATCCTCTATTAGTTAAATCATCTTGGCAATCGCTGAGCTTGCTTAAGGGGCTACACAGCCCCCACATCCTCTCCTTACCTAGCCCTGTTAAAAACTTCCCCTCCAAAACGGACTGCTCTGTTATAAAACGTTGTGCTGAAACAGTATTGCACACCCTATGGCTCATTCTGTACATTTTATATATTAAAAATATTACATGCATTATTAAGTTATTACTGTATAATACTTTTTAATTAATTATTAAAATGATTTTTTTTTATATTAAGCAATTATTATAATTATTAAAGTATTTATATATTTACTAATTCAAACTATGCAAAGCTTTTTATTCAGCTTTACCTTTGTTTGGCAAGAGCTTCTCTTTTTCAAAATATTCAACACCATGTAATCCTTTTTTTGAAAAAGCTTTACACATGCAGCGTTGAGGGAATCCAATTAGTTTGCACAGATCAAGAGATATGTTGAAAAAACATTGTATAGGAGCAGAGCCTTATCTGATCCCTTCCTGAAAAGCAGCCAATCAGAAACAAACTGCCAGATTTACCTTTATCCGACCTATTTTACTGAAAAAATAAAATTGCTTAGCAAAGAAGCAATGGACATAATTGTGGACCAGTCCATTGTTATTTGCAAGAATGTGATCCATGCACAAGTTCATCAGGAGTATTTCAAATCGGCTTGATGCTAAATGAAAGTCTTACCAGCAATAATATCATCCATTTGTTCCAAGGCTGCTTCTAACATGTGACTTGCATCTGAGGCCATGGCGCCAGCCATCTACTGCATCTGCTGGTTTGCTTCTCAGTGACCTGCAAAAATGTGTCATGTAATTATGCAACATAATGAATAAAAGTCACAATTACAGTTGCTGGGAAAGTGCATTTCGAAATTGAGGGTGGAGTAAAAAAATTAATCTTGTGTGTGAACCAATACTATGAATCTCAACTGACGGCAAGTAGCAGCTTGGTGTGTTTATGACTGCTGCCTTCCTGTACTGCAATGTAACTTGACATTACATAAATTCCCTAGAGCAGACGTGGTTTACAACAACATCTAAATCATATTGTCCACTATGACAAGGCTGTATTTAGAAAATGCCACTAGAAAATGTTGTATGTGTTTGATTGTAAGCTCTCTGAAGCTACAGGATTAAAGGGTCTCCATATTAAGAGCTAGTATTTTTCCAAGTGTTAACCCCTGACTCTCTGCTGTGACGTATCCCGACTCGAGGCAGCTTGACTTTCTCCCTGTGGAAATTTGAGAATAATTAAGCCTGTCAGGGTCAAGTTTCACCCTATTGTCATGCCTTGTGGCATGTGTAATAGGCACATTCATACATCATATATTTAGGCACACATAAGCAAACGCAAACACAAAAAGGTGGCTATGGAAGCCTGTTTCTGCCCTTAGAGTAAATGTGCTCTCACGTTTACCATTGTTCGGCTAATTTTGGCAGGTGAAATACAGTCATTTCGATAGGAATACACATAATGGGGAATTTTGCATGAGAGCTTAGTCAAGTTCGTCACATGGATTTGCAGCGTTTTTTGCATTTACATTTTTTTTCATGCAAGATTTTCCTGACTTAAAAGCAAAAAAGGATTTATAAATTTCTTGTACTCACGACTTTAATTGCACAATTGTAGGGCCCTATGATTTCCGTGATGTGGAAAACTTGGAAAGAATCGTGGAATCCAGTCATAAAATTGGAATTTACTGTATAACGCGGAATGTCACGGAATTTACCAAATTTCAAGAGCAGGTCAGTACACTTAAATCAAAACGCGATATGGACTATTGTCTGTGAATATTAAGCC